ACGCGCCTTGAGCACTCCACAGAGTGGATTTGGCGCGATATAAGTTACATTATTATTATTATTAGATGTGCAATTAAAGATAATCTGAAAGTGTGAGTGAAAACAGACCATTATTAATGGAAAAAGTAGGGAAAAACTAATCTGATTAATTCCTAAATTCTCCCAACTATATTTTAACAATTTAATTACATTTTAAGTAAATTTAAATCGTCACAAAGCCATGAATTGGCTTTATATACCATTCCAGACATTAAAATGTTGGCAGATTTTTTAAAGTCTGTATTTTATCTTATTTTCATGGAAAAACGGTTGAAAAAATTGAAAAAATGGTGGAGAGAATTTACTGTTAGAGGGTGTCGCACAGTAACACCTTCGAAGAAAACCCATACATATATTTTTGGTTTGAGAATTTTTTCGGGAATTTTTGCATGTTAGAGGGTAAGTACAGTAAAAGGAATATAATAAGTAACATTTCATACAAACATTACGCATTTTTTCATCAACCTTCAACAATGTTACCGAGTCACTTTAAAACATTCTTCTATATCTAATCGCTAGCTCGTGTGTGGGGCTTACGTTCAGGGGGTTCAGGGGTCTGAGAGGGGTCTTGGAAAATCGCATTTTACGCCTTTCCATGATATCTATACGATTTCTCAGAAAGTTCTTCGTGTTTTTCAAGAGAAAATCTTTCCATCCATATGTAATTTGTTCTAATTATCAGTTGTAGTGGATATTTCTTAGTGTGATTCCTTTAAGAAGGGTGTATAATTCGACCGTTTTTCCTTTTTCTTTGGTATTCCCCTGTGAGGCTTATTCAAACACAACTACATTGTCTTTTGTGAAATCGCGCATGGTGTATTTTATATTTGGAATAAGAGGGTGATTCCTCTTAAGAGAAAAGCGAACAAATTTAATTTAATTATACTACTATAGTTGGGAGAATTTAGGAATCGATCAAATTAGTTTTCCCCAATTGTTATCAATAATAATGGTTTGGTTTTACCCAAAACCCCGGATTATCTTTTGTTGTATACCTGGCATTGAAGTTACTACCTCGGCACTATTTTCTCTCATCTGAACAGTGTTACCAAGTCCCTTTAATATGAGATAACACAACATTTTAATCATCGAACTTTTGTGCTTACTGCGTTGTAAAAGATAGAAATCATAAAATTACTACCCTTCGAGTTCATTGCGTCTGCTATATACACAATCATCAAACTTAATATAGGAGACAGCGTTATAGCTATTTCGTATTGTTCTATAGAAAATGAATCGTGAAATTCATAATTGTCCATTGAGCAAAAGAGGAGATATTTCTCGTTAGTGCTCTTTGGTAGCATGTAAAGAGGGAGGGGGACTCCAGTCAGAAAAGCGTATTGAGTGGTTAGACAAGAGCAGTAGAAAGAAGAAGTGCGATAGTCGGAAGAACAGTACGGATAAGAAAAAAACAATACGCGTGTAAATTCGTAACAAACAATACACTAACACACCGGAAGTGACTTGGTCACCAAACTATCCCAGAGTACATTTGAAATGGAGCCTGAACGTAACATACGGGTATTTTTTATATATTGGCGATAGCGAGAATAAAGGCACGAAAACGCCACGAGTCCCTTCTAACCTTCTGCATATACTTGTTTAAAACATCAAGCCGTTTTCAAAAGAAAAAAATTGTGAATGTCGTTCATCAAAGCAAAAGTCATTTTTTTTCTTCCCGTTTCTTCATTGTTTTGTCTCGGTTGTGTGTTTTTCCTTGTGAAATATTGAGTACGAGTAAGAAAAGGTTTATGTTGACGCAAACGAAAATCATACATGCACAAAAGCACAATGGCGGCGGATCCTGTGTTGTCACAAAATTCCCAATGGGTAGAATGAAAACTAAAATTACATGTGTTATATTAAAACAAAATCACGTTTTACAAGTTGAAAGTGCAGGGAAGATCGATGATACATGAGTTAAAGGAGGGTTCAATAATAGGGGGAGGGATAGACGACACGGATTAGGACAGATAGGAGAGAGGTTGACAGAAAAAATGAAAGAAGGAAAAAAGAGATAAAACGTGCGTTACACATCCCCATCGTACTAAAAGTTTCTATAAAACACACCACACGTTATGTCTCTCCGACAATATGCTATCCGTCAAAGTCAAGAAGAAAAGTGAAGACAAAACCCCATCACGTCATAAGAGAATGCATTTCATGGAAACGGTAATCATGGTAATCAGAAGAATGTCTTGTCCGAAAAATACAATTTAAAAGGGGAAAAAAGGTAAAAATCTTACAAGCGAAGAGTTGGCAGGCCTTAATTATGGGTAAAGTAATGAAAATGCCGTCTTGTTCATTTTGTTAGTTGCTGACGTCCTTGAGATGTGTTAGCAGGTGAATGTGAATTAAAATAACTGAGGGATTGACCAATTTGATACAGACAATCCCATCCATTTCCTCTCCTTGTTTTTCCGGTTGCAATGCTGTACCCGGACACTATTACAACGAGAGGGTTCAACTTGACATATACATGTAGTAAACAATACTTAAGATTCGTAACAACACGCTAAGCTGTGAAGTTTCATGTTGTCGCTTACTAACTAGGAATTATCACGATGCTTACTGCATAATACGACATGCAAGTACTTAATAGGGAAACTCCCCGATTTTCTGAATCGCTTTGTTTAGTATGTTTTAAATTCAAGTTGCGTCATTTAACTAGAGTATCACATTTCTATTTCCCACCAGACAATATATTATTGGTCGAAGTCAAAGAAGAAAAGAAAAGAACAAAAATCACGTCAGTAAAGAAGGAACTTTATTGCAACACCCCCACACATTAAGTTCTTCCGACAATATTGGTTTCGTAGTCGAGTGGTTTAAGCACTTGACTTGAAATGCAAGTGGGTTCGAGCTCCCGAAATTCACGGCACTAATGTCCTTTGGCGAGGAATTCATCTTCATTTGCCACTCAATACCCAGGAGAGAAATGTGGACATGGTAGGATCAAGGAAGTCTTTGTGATATTAATTCCCATATGCCCTCACAGTGACAATATGGTAGGAGTTCTCCCTAGGTGTGGACATGGTGCACGATATCTCGTATTAAGCGCTGTAGAAATCATTCTTCTTATTGTTATTATTACTCTTATTCTTAATATTTATTCTGATGGAGTAGTTGTCAAGAAACACCTGCACTCTTACACACCATTCTTCTTTACACGTAGACCTACAAGTCATGTCGAATACATGTAAAGATTGTTACATCGCTCAGAAATGCCATTATAATTATGATAACAAAAATTACAAGTGTTCCTTTATATATTCTTTTATTTTTGTTACTTATTTATCCATTTATAGTACTCATATGGGGGGGGGGGGGGGGGGGGACGAGGGTCATATTCATATAGGGAATTTTAAAATGTAAATTATCTTAAGCTGCATATTTCATGATAAGACATGATATGACAAATCGCAATAGATTCATGATCTTGTTATTGCATGATACGAATTTACATTTCTAAACAAAAACAAAACAAATCATTTGTTCATAAATTGGCGAAATGCAACAATGATTGCTAACCGGAAATCAGGAAGTGGAAGAAAACCCCGGAAGTTTTCCAATTAGATTTATATTCTGTTTGTAGGTTTAGAAGTAATACAATAAAATTGGGGAAAGGAGAGCCAAAGATATTAAGTGAGGATAGAGTAAAAGCCCGGAACGAAATGTACGTGGGCTGCTGTTTTTACTTCTACTCTTCCAATCAATATCAGGTATTGGGTAAAAATAGAGCTCTTCTTTTCATCAAGATAAAACGTTCATTTAGCGGACCCTAAAGTGCACGTCTTAAGACAGGAGCTACATACATACGAGGCAACCTTAGATTTACCGATAATACCAAGTGTATTGCGTTACTGCTAGCGGGTCGTGTGTTCAATATTCGGTTTCAAAATACTTTTCCGCCAGTTGGAAAAATAAAACCTCCCCGGCCCGCGCCCCGCTCGGCTATTTCCGTGACCCCCTTGACATTCAGCGGAATAGACGTGGGGTAGGTTGTATGTATGTGTTGAGGAAGGGGGATGCGAAGTGAAACACAAGGCCAGCATCCAACGTCTTAGACCAACCAAATTAAAAAAAGAAATGCCAAGATAAAATATGAATTAAAAAATGGTAGAATCCAACTATAATCCAAGAAATTATCTTAGATTCATAATTCGTGAGCTTGCATCACTCGCCTTAATGATTGCAGTATAGTAACAATTTCAATAGTGGGTGTTTTTAATCTCTCGTTAACAAAGTTGCATTTTATCTATCCTTGTGTGTAAAAATAAAACCGTTTGTTTTGGTTTTCCTCGTCCGTTTAGCGAAGACATTTAGACAAGACAGAATTCATTTCGTCTCCAACTTAAATATTTTTAAACAAAAGACGAAACCGCGACCTTCAAACACCTTCATCATCAACTACACCGTCGCCCTCGTTTTCATCAATGAACGCAAATACCATCGTCATCATTATTATTTTTCAGCAAAGTCAATCGTAGCAGCTTCAAAACCACTGCCACCATTTTGTTTTTGTTTAGTATCATTAGTGGCACAGCCACGATCATCAACATTATCATCAATATCATCATCATCATTATATAATCATCATCATCATCATCATCATCATTATTAGCAGCATCATCGTCCTCATCACCAGCAGCAGCATCATCATCATCATCATCATCATCATCATCATCATTATAATTATCATCATCATCATCATCATCATCATCATCATTAGCAGCATCATCGTCCTCATCCTCATCACCATCATCATCAGCATCATCATTAGCAGCATCATCATCCTCATCACCAGCAGCAGCATCACCATTATCATCATCGTCATCATTTATATATATCTTTCTTCGTAACCATCAGTAACAGCAGTATAAGATTTTGCTGCGTAAAGATGCTCAACGCCCTCCCACATAAACAAAATTAAACAAATAGAAGACAATTATATGCCGGTATAACTTTTCAAAATTCTCGTATGAAACCATTTATTTCTCTTATCATACATTTGTACAAACTCTCAACCATTTCTTATTCCTCTACAAAATCGCCGTTTACCTTCCAATTTTACATCACTCCAACGATAGATCACATTGTTTTGGTGTTACATGGTGACATATGTCGACATTGATATAAAATATTTGACACCAATTTACTTAAGAATCAAAGTACAAAAAATATCTTCATATACATAGAAACACACGAAGAACATACGTATTAGAGTGAAGACTTCATTTGAGGTTGTGAAGAAAGTAAGAGTGACGTATATAAGAATGATGTACTATATCATACTGTTTAACTCCATAAATGTGTTTCAATGTATTTCCAATACAATTGTTCATTCATGGCTAATTAGCTTTATAATTTCTTGACGTATTATTCTAAGATTGAAAAAGGATACGTTATATTAGGTGACTTAAAAAACCACGATATTGAACAAATAGCAACAAGACAAAAAATATTTTAGTTTGAGCGTGTGACGTTACTAAACCTTAGTGACTGTGTTGCAAATTCAACTATAATGCATTCATTGAGAGTGTTAATCAAAGAACCGTTAATTGGAAGATTAAACAAAAACAGTAACCTTTGATAGTCCTGCATAAAATGAATGAAAATATATATATGGTTACACGAATCCAGTCATTTACTAGACGAACGTCGTTAATAAACATGTCTGGTTGAATACAGCGGTGGTGGAGATACAACAAATAGGACTTGTGAAAGTTATTTGAAATCACGAAAAGAAACTCTCAAAGCGCATGTCTCAAGACCAAAAATGTACACAGATGCAAAAGTGAAAATGCAAATAATAGTAATGATAATACCATTTGGAATATGTATATCAAGATTACCTCAAAAGTTTCAGCGCAAACATCACAAGCTTATAAAGCTCAGTGGCCCCATGGAGGGGTATACAATGACAATAATAGTATTGATTATGTGCAAATGAACCATTAATTATTCATACTGTTCAGCCCGTAGCCATCCGGATATTCAGCTCCATCAGCAGAATCTTTGTTCAAACCATCATGCTTCCTTCCCTGATCTTTTACTTTACTTTACCTCACTTGACCCAAACGTACTGCGATAACCAGTTTTTCATCTCTCTAGCCTTGCTGTATGTATTTATAAACTGCGAATGTAGGCTATAAACTATTATTAGTTCGATAAATGGCGTTGGGACATATTTGTATTTTGGAGGAATCTGTACGCTCCCGTAACGGTTGCGTGAGAAAATAACAATGGTATTGATTGAACCAGAAACGAGCCCCATTCAAGCAAATAAGATTTGTCAAAATAATGACCCTTTTTTGGAAAGAAAGAAAAAAACAACCAGAGAGAACAATTAGTGATTACAAATTGTGTTATCAAGCGAACCGGGTCAGACTGATTGGTGTTTTCTACGGTTATCATGGTATTGATTTTCATATCCGTGACCCATTACGACTTACTTTTGCTTTAACCTTAACAATATTTTTACCACAGTACTGGGGCACAAATATCGATGTAATACTCAATCAAAATAGAATATTAGCGTATTTGCCAGCCTCTACTCCGTTTTCATTTGTAGGTTATTTAATAATAGTGCATGTTTTCTGTTCGTAGGTTAATACCTTAACAGTAAGTTTTATCCTTGTAGTATATTTATCATCCGTGAAAGTGGCATATAGTGCTGTGTTTGACAAAGAATATAAAATTCGAACACAATTATTTTTGTGCCAGTTTGTTCGGACGTAACGTTTGTAACAGTATGTTTATAAGTGATGGACTGTTTTGATTATCTTCAAATTTTACAAACCAAAGAGGTGAGATAGGATGCCATACAGCAAACATCGTAGTATTATTATACAATATTAGTAATATTAATACCAAATAACTGTGAAGAATAATGTGGTTATATAAGAAAGCGTCTTTGGAATGGTGATGAATGATTACAATTTTGAGTCGGATGCTCCATAGCCACATTGGTAATCATTTTCATGTGATTAAAAACGTCTTCTTTTTTTACACCCATTATATATTTATCGGTCAAGACTATACACTCGGATTATCCATCATTTTTTTTCTAAAAGTCAAGTAATAGAAAACTCATTAAACCTCTTTCCTCGAAACGAATCTCTTTGGTAAAAAAAAAATCATTCAGATCAATTAGCATTTTCCTCGTAGAGCCATAGGTAATCAAATACTCAAAGTTCTTTCTTCCAAAATCGCTGTCTCTCGAAAGATGGTGTATGATCTTAGAACACATTATGTGAGTGCGTGTGATTGTTCATGATAGTAGTCCTCACGAAGACAAATGTCAGTTTGTGTGTTCACGTGTGAAGAAGCGTGGCGCCGGTTAAAGCACTTCCATCACGTGACAAGACTTGGACCTAGCACGGTACCCTGGGGTAGGCTCATCACCGCTCTTCCGCCGTAGCAGTCTACCAATGGCGCCGCGCGCTCTCTTCAGCATGGACGGTCTTCTGCTTTTCTTCGACGGCGATCGTTGTCGCTCGCCGCGCGTCGGCGATCCCTTGAGGGATTCCACACTGCCCCCACTACCGGTCTCCATCTCTTCCTCGGAGTGACGTCTATCGCGTCGGAGTCGGATTTGCTGGACGACGCCGTTAAAAAGCTTGTCGACGTTGTGAGAAAGAGATGCCGAAGTCTCGATAAGTTTGCAGTCGAATAGTGCTGCAAAGTGTTTGCCCTCTGTAAAACAAAATAGGGAAACAACGAATTTAGTTTGTTTACTTAAATTGATTAAAGTAATTCACATATAACCAATTTAGGGTAACAAGCTCTTCGCGTCCTTAATATATGGTTGTATCTTAGGTTCAGTATTATTTAAGCTGTGATATAAATTCACACCCGTAGACTAACTTGTAGGTACATTGATCTTCATTGTCATTGATTATGGCATTAAGATATTAATTATCATTTTGTAATTCATATGGAAGTGAATATTCATAGTTCAATTAGTTCATTCTCTCACGTTGCAATCAAGATATAGAGAATGTTTAGAATATTACGAGATGTTTCATTGAAAATCTGATAAACAATTCACGAACATCATTAAAGGTTTGTTGTTGTGTCATTTCGTACCTTCGAAAGGGACTTCTCTCGATCTCTCCAGGTCTGTCTTGTTACCGACCAGGATGATGGGTACCATCTCTGTTGCTTGTGTCCTCTGGAGTTTGAATCTGAGCTCGTTGGCCTTTTTGAAGCTTCGTCTGTTAGTGATGGAGTAGACCAGGATGTAGGCGTCACCACCTTGCAAGAGTTCATCTTCTCTCTCCTCGAATTCAGCCTGGAAAGATACAATGATGAGACTTTCATTTAGCAGAGTGTCTTGTTTTATAACCAGGATTATGTTTTCAACTATTCATAGATAACAATTTAGAAATAAAGACTAATATATAAGCCGCTTTTAATTATTTTCATTGCGTCAAAGTGTTCACCATATTTAGGGGGTATTCCCATCATAATGTGCACTACATTCAAGACAACGGTATAAATAGTAGTTGCGGTGGCGTTTCGTTATCCTTTTCAGTTCCTTTATATGTCGTCATGGTCGTAAGCAAAGAAAGACGCGTTCTCTTGAAATCTGTGCAGTGAACATAAATATGATGCAGCTCGGATTCTGATCTCAGACTATTTTGGTCAACATTCCGCTGACTACATACACTAAAACCGCATCACTTATTGCTAGTGCCGAGATTATGCAGGGTTTAAACAAAAATGATTGATTGTTTCATGTGGGCATGGTGGGAAGGAATTGGAATGGATCTGGAATATGGTTAATGGCACATGATGAGATAGATATCGCTCATGGGGTGAGAGGTTTGCTTGGGGGAACTTTTTTGAAGATGGCGAAAAGGTCAAGATGTGCTCGGGACAAAATCCGAAGTATTTCTTTGTCACGTTCGTTGCAGACAGGATAGATGCGCATGCATACACGCTTGTCGCTGTCTTTGAATAAAGTCAGAACAACACATGGACCAATATCATCTTCACATCTGGTAGACAAATCTTCTGTTCAGACTGACATATTTATATTCGCTGCTGCCTAGCAAGACAACCCTATAATGTATACCAGCGAATCACGTATCTATCATAACTCGAGGATCAGCGAAGGCGACTATATACAGACCATAACAATGCAAATGGATACAGCACCTTAAACATGATAAGCTTTTCAAGCGGCATTTCCCTGTTATGATCATTATTTTGAATAAAGTGTATCTAACCCTATTCACTTTAAATTGAATACGTTTGTCAATTCAATATGTTGCTACCGTGACCTTGATCGCAAAGTGAAATTTAGGATGATGAATCAGAATGTGGAAACTTTACTTCATCGTCATTGGTATCACAAGTCGTGATCTCATGAAAGGTTATATATATATATGAAGGTGATATAGCAATTGCTTTTATATCGATTACGTCATCCATTTTGACAAGAGATATCTTTCGGTACTTTGGCACGAACCGTCTACCAGGATGACGTCATCGAATTTCAAGAGCTCTCGAAAAAGTGGCATAGCCATATTGTCACTTTGCGATTCATTTGTATATATGCCAGGGTAGAAACGCTTTATTACGTTCAGAGTAAGGACATGTTCACAAAAGATATATTTGTGGGTATTCAAGAAATGGAATAGTCGACAGTTAGGCGGGATGTAACCTTTGGGATTGGGCCTAAACAGACTGGTGAATCCAGCCTCATTTTCGGTTTCAAATTAAAGTCTATTTTTGCTTTTACTGATGGATGAGGGCTTATTTTTGTGACAACCCCAAAACACAACTATATTTACGACCCAACACTCGGATGAGATTGGGCTTGCGTCGCGACAATTCTTCTCCAGTATATCGATAAAGTCCTCACCCCTAATTCGAGGGGGCCTACGTGGTGGAATGCGGATAACGAGCAGCGAATACCAACGCGGGAAGGAAAGCCCGATGGCGTTAAAGGGGAAATGGGTTCTGAAACATTCCAAGTAGGGGGAAATCTAAGGTAGATAGCGATTGAGTCTCGGCAGGTGTTTGTCATTTTTAATCGATAGAGAAGGCGAAAGGGTATTACTGTCGTTGGAAACATCCTTATCTTAGCTTGGTAGTGACTTGTGCAATCTGCACACAATACATTATTAACGGTATCTTCTCTATAGCTATATGCATCTATTGTGGAAAGAGATACATCTACCGGTGTGTGCGTTCAGCTATGTGGGGTTTGGTGTGTAGGTTGGTGAGGGTGTGTGGGGGTGTGGGACATCTTAACCATGTTAACCGGGCATGTCTAGTTAAGGCGTATACATTTAAGTGGTGAACGATTTCAATACAGGGGGTTGTGATAACCATCTGTTTTTTGCCAGTCTACAGAGCAGTGACCCGTTTTCCTTTTCTTTCAAGATTACAATCTCCAGTTTGAGTTTCTTGAACTGTCGAACTATAGTTGAACGATATCATCTTTAAACGTTCATTACCCCTAGCCTTTACTTCTGCAGCATGGTACTCTATCGAATGACTTGTTTTCCCTCTCGCCATGTTTTCTCCCTAAATGCACATGACTTCTATACCCCTGTACTTATAGATATTTTGTTGGCCTACACACATATGCTCCGATAATTGCATTCCTGGCTAGCAACTGTCAAGTTCATTAGATGCAAAAGAACATAGGCGACCCATATGATAGATTGACAGGCGAGCGAACTTTAACAAGTACTGTCGAAAATATTACCACGAACATCCATATCACTCACAATGCAAGGAATCTAACAGATATATCATGATTTCTTTTTCCATTGATTTGATGAAAACGTTTGGACTTTTTTTAAAAGCTGATATTTTATTCAGGCTTTCTTGGGCTGATGAAGTCGGTGCTTCTTTTTTTCCCTACTGATGCTTTGCTAATGATCTCTTGTTCGACTCATAATGTTATCTTCCACACCAATTAGGCCTCCACAATCCTTTGCCATTGCTGATGCATCGCCGAGCTTGCCGAGGGGTAATCATTAAAGCAAGGAGAAAAAAAGCGTTTTCCTCTCAAAAATTATGAAGTGCCCATTCCCAGTAAAAACGAACAATAAAAGTATATTTACCTGGCCGTAGGGTGGTGTGTCGACAATCTGCACCGTGATTTCTTGGCCGTCAATTTGCATCGTTTTCTCGTACACCTCATCAGGGTTTTCTACAGACAGGCAAAGATAAAAGACAAAAAAAAAAAGATGCGTTACAACAGTTTCATCAAAATGCAATTCAGAGTTTTAACAAAGCTCATTACAGATACAAGAGATGAAAATCCCACGAGACGGCTCATAATGGGGGAAGGATGACGTAGATGCTCGTCTCCGGGACAACATCACGGATCCCCATGACAACGGATGGGTTGATGATCTCTGTAGTGGTTGTCAGCTAACGTTGTAATTTTCACAAGCTCTACCATGACAACTTGAGTCCACACACGCATTATGGTGGAGCTTCGGCTCAAATTTCATGGGACTGATTCCTGAATCCTGTTAAGATAAATCCCATTCCCGATGTTCACATGTAATGTAATATCCCACAATGTCTCATGTGGGGAACTCTAGGCGATAAATGAACATCAAAATGAAAAAGACATTAAAGGAGAATTGTGTATTCTTCCTTGTTTTCCCTTCTTCACATTCGTTGGTCACATGTAATGCAATATACCGCAATGCCTCATGTGGGGGGGGGGGGGGGGCTCTCCAGGTGATAAACGAACATTAAAACGAAAACAATTTAAGGAAAAAAAAATTTCTCCACCTTCTTCACTTGAAAAAAAATCGCAAATTAAATATTTTCCAGGTTGCTTTTCAAACTGTGGTCAAGAGTAGAAGAGAAACAGAGAGAGAAAGAGAGAGAGAGAGAGAGAGAGAGAGAGTTCAAAACCAAACTCTTCAATCCCCAAATCATCCCTAATATAGGTTTGTGGCTATAATCGTAAACCTATTGACAAACAATGCACAATGTGGATCAGTTAAACATGTTACAATATTGAAAAAGGGTAAATACCATTGGAGAAAAAAAAGGGATGAGCATACATGAGACACGTATTATTTGCTATACCGACTGCAAGGGAATACAAAGGATTATTATTTCTGCCTCGCTACCATATCGTAATTCATTTGAAGTAAATCTTAAAGATAAATCATTCCTAGCATAAAGCACACTAATAGTGTGAAAGGATTTTGTTAGTAAGTGGTCGTTTATAGCGCCATGTCCTCTAAACTTCAATCAAGCCAAGTGTCCTCTACAGCGAAATCTTGCCTTCAGGTGATAAATGCATACTTGTCCATGTCGTAGAGCTTCGGATGAAATTTTTCTCAAGATCCTTCAATACATGTTTTCCCTTTTATAACCAGGATCATGGGCCATGGAAGAAAATCGTGCAACGCGACCAACGTTTCACGTGGCATGAAGAAAAAAACCCGGAACGAAACCGTACAAGGATATTCCGTTTCAACTAAGGCTTCGGGATGTTAGGGCATGTTAAACAAGATAGGACTCCCAGTCATCATTTAGAGCGATGGCGACGTCTTATAAACAGTTGCGATTAATCGCAATTTATATACGATCATTATCGATAGCAACTATGTATATACATAGGCAATAAGAGACTGCAAACTTGCGATCGATTAGAGAATTTGCTATTGATTTGGATCCATTGCAAATCTTCATAAAATGGCCGAGTTGCAATCGTCGCGGACTCTAGTATCACCCCTTTTGGGGGGTATGGTGGTAATACATCTCCGGACATAATACGAGGTCGAATAGATTCAGTACTCATTAAAACTGTTGTTCACTTCACGATGACTAAACTAGGTTATAGGCTTTATTTGGTTAATGCATAGCACTAGCAATGAGCCACAAAGTCCATAGAGATGAGCCTTAAAATGAGTTAAATATATTTGTAAAAGTTATTCTTGAATTAAGTTTTGATGTAAATGGTTTAACGCAACTATATGGTAATATAATATATCACAAATGCAAATCTGTTTGGATGAAAATCCAGAGTTGCATACGCATTATAAAGTCAGGTAAGCAGAGTGTCACAATATTAGGCAATAATTTAGTCGCAATGATAACCCTTTTTCAACATTGCCTCGGGATGAATGTAGCGCAATAAAATATTCAACAGTATTCGATATTTCCAGAAATGGGAAAACGAATTAGGTAACAGGGTTTCGAAGAGATCAAAATCCCAATTTAAGTAATATTGTGTCACTTCTGAGGTAAGTTGCAAACAGAAAAATAAAATTGATAGGTCCATTTGCGTGTTCTAGAAAAATAACAGCTATCACATTCCTCAACAAAACAGCAACCCGAAGAAGTGGTGCCATATCCAACGCTGAGAGAGTGTAGGCGAAAATCAATGGAAACAGAGGGTCATAAACGAGCTCATATCCTAGACGGATCCAAAACATTGTTGAAATCTGAGCATTTCGATTCACTTAGCCAACACGTCAAACTGACGTCGGGTTATATTTCACATATCAAGATGTCTAAACTCCAACCGCGGCCCAACTCGTGTCGACACTGATTTGTTGTTTTGTTTTCACTACGTCTCCATCTTCTTCACAGAATTCTTCCTCCTCTCTTCCTCCCTTCCTTCTCCTATCTCAACTATATAGAAACACCTTCCCTTTTTACGAACTATAGCTAAACTACAAATATATATTGCTACACCGAAAAGTCACAAACAGTATCATTCTTAAAACTAATTTAGCAAAGTGCCAAGAACATCAAGAGAAGGTAATTAATCTAAACCCGATATATTTCCCCGCGTTTTCATTGATGGTTGTGATACATCATTCCAAATTCCAATTTAATGCAAGTCATTTACTTTCATGGCGGTTTTTAATAATTATCCAGTGGTTCTACCACGATTGGCATCAACAAATCTCACTTCCTTTATGTTTTTTTTCTTCTCACTTTCGGAGGACTGGGAAATGAATCGTTTAATTTTCCCAACAATAACTTAGAATCAACATTTGTGTTTGTCGGGTTTGTTTGAGCATATTCTCCCGCTGAATGCAGTGTAAACAATAACGACTGGGAGAAACCTGGCTCTGTAATGGAATAAGTGGGCTCTCGCTCTGCCAACATTAAGGCCTCGTCTCCACGGATCAATAAAGCCCTCCCAAAAACGTCCCACGATTTAATGTAAATAATTTTTCAGAGGCCTTCAAACCAGGCATACTGCCACGCAAAAGGAAGTGTAAAAATTCCAAAAATTTCATAAAGAAAGAAGTTTTAATGGCACTTAAGTTCTCTTTTGCAATGCAAAACGTAGACAGTGGATTCCTGAGTAAATGCTAGATACACTCTTACTAGACAAACTTCTCGCGTGTATTACGTGTTCTCCCATTAAGTCTTTGAAATATTTCTGATTGCAGTTGCTTCCTGTTGTCAAATAACGATAGTAAACTAATCTTGTAGAAGGAAAGTTGTGAAAACGATGAAAAAGACCCCGGATTGGATGAGACCTCCCCAGTCACAACGGTGAGACTGACAAAAGACCGAGCAGAACATTACATTTCAACGATAGGTCGGTTTGAAATCGGTTTAGGAGTCTGATACGTGGTGTGACTAAAGGAATCATATCTTGTGGTAGTGGTAACGGACTTTTGGTTCTCCCACTGTTATTGATTTATTGGTCAATACTGTGTTGTCCCATGGCACATCACATCCTGATAGTTAGAGCTCCCATTTTGATTTGATATCGATCGTGCTGTGTTGTCTGTCGGTGCACTCGCCCACGCAACTCTCTTTTTTGTTTAATGTTCAATCTCAAACTTTGCGGAAATCAAAGTAAGTGCCCATATTTTGAACTCTTTTTTAAAGGTTTATTTGATTTGGCCTATTGATCGCAAGCAAGTTATAGAGATAAACTAGAATGTTTATTATACAGAAGTAGAGGCAATGTAGAAGTGATTTTTTTTTTTGTTTAAAGGGAAAAATCAAAGGTAGTTTCTGATTGCATATCTATCTGGCCTAGATGCGTAAAATTTGATACGTATAATAACAATTATTTCAGATGCTTATATTAATCATTGTGACTTGTTATTGATAGAAAGTTTTTGTATCTAACCTGGGCCTGAACTTGCTGCGTGAATAATCTTCTCGGGCTGTGCTTGAAATGACGCACTTATGAGTGCAAATCTAGAAGATCTATGACGGGCAATGCAGTTTGCACGTCATTTCATAACATGTCATACAAAAAGAGTAATTAACAATGGATATATCATAAAATAATTATAATCAATATGAAAGGCGATTTTCCCAAGTTGTTGTTGAATACCTTGAAGCATGTAAACCAAATAGAAAACACACAACAACGCCAACGTCATTATACAGGCACACGATACATGTAGATGTATATATACATGATCTCACGTTCAAGGCGATGTTTGTCACGTTCTTTATTCTGTTATTGTAAAAACGCCTTTAATAATTCAAGAGGTACTCACACATCGAGAGATGACACCGTTTTCTGTGATCCACAAATTCCAAGTTGTGACGTCAATTTTTCAGTAAATACTAAACGGTTACCAGGACAATGGATCAAGGCAGTATCGCATGCAGTTTTCGTTGCCATGGGAATTCAGCATCTCTCAGAAAGCTAGCCTTTTGATGAGAATTTGTGTGTGCTAAATCTGTAGGTCATCCAGGCATACCAAAGTTGTTTATGAACACGCCGTTTTTATAAACTTTATAAAGGTAGGTACCTGGTGTTACTTTGTTTTCATAGACGTCATTTTCTTGTTAAATCTCCCCTATATTCGACTTTATAATTTTTCTCCCATTTAACCATGGTAGCTTCTGCGTCTCGTTTTATTTCCTAAAATAACGTTAAAGTTATTAAGAAATAATCGGTCGATTCAATCACGCGTTGGCTTCGCACGTGTAGGCTTGAAGCATCTACCGTAAATGTTAATGCATTGCACGCATGGGATAGAGCATTCAATAACCGTTTCAGAGGCAATGCTTGAAATCAAGGCTTCCAGACTTAATAACTTCCCCGAAGCTGTGGTTTTTCTGCCTTTAACTTCTTAAGTCGATGAGAATCGGATCGTATGTCTTAAGAGCATTACGAATGTTTAAAGTAATGTTTGATTATCGTGGACTACGGACTGAACCTCTTGGGTAGTAGAACAACCAAGTTACAAAATCTCGTGCATTATTAAATCAAAATCCTGTAGGCCTGAGCCTGTATATCTGATAATAAAACACGCGATAGCCTTGGACCGGATTTTCTTTGGCGCTCTGGTTGCAATGCGTAATCCCCCAATGGACGTGGATTTTTAGAAGGGATATTTTCATACCGGGAGTTTAAACAATAATATTCATCCGCCTGATTTCCCCTGTTAAGTAACACATAAACAAACGATCCAGGGGCGACAGTGCTTATTTTTAGAGACCGCGTCTAATTTTAGCAAGGATGGGAGGAACTCGGTCTTTGCAAAGTAGGCCGACATAACACCGGCTTCCCCTTCTTTGAGCAGCATTCTCCGGTAGAATTGATAAACAAACCAGTGCGCCGCCACGCTTGCATTCAAAGTCTATGTATCGAGCTGGCAGACAGCCAAACCGATATGTCAACTCATCTATATCGATTGCGATCCATTTAGTCACGTGTTGCGGAAATGGCATTTACCCGTTTGCCGTTCACGATCAATGTCTCCTTCAGAACAAATAAAGATATTTTCCCAGATCACCTTTTATACCCCCCCCCCCCCCCCCCCCCAGGGTATTTGTGTTCACCCGAGGTCTAACGTATCAGCCAGGACTTGGTAATTACGGGGTTGTTTGCCGTTTACAATCGGTTGTTGAAGCAAGAGTTTTAATTTAGAAATCAGGATTCTTTGGAGAAATACTGAACTACACACTTTGAGTGCATTCGACAATATTAATTCAATGTCTAATTGATCATGTTGGTATGAGGGAAGGAATAACTTGAAATGACAACAATAAAATTAATCACATTTTTAGCGAACAGCTGTGAAAAAAAATGGAGAAATCATAACGTTATTAAATCTTTGGCATTCAGCCAGGACGCTCTAAGACCAAAATCTCTCCCCCGAATTGGATTTTTTTTTTTCAAGAAGAAGAAGAGGAAAAAAATAACACAATTACTTAATAGCTTATGATAAAGTAGAACGTGGGGTTCTTATACCACCACCCTCTCTCCGGTTGGTAAGTAATGATAATTTTTACTTTGTATTTGATAACACTGCCTACAATTTGAAGATACCATGGGTAAAAACAAATTCAGCCACGAACAAACGACGACTGACGTATGCATCATCTCAAGCGTGGAGGACAAAAGATGAAGTTGAGATCCACTTTTCTGCATTCAAAAGTCGTTTTCTTGATCTAGATGATAACTGTTGCATAGCAGCATTGCGACTGCCCGCATGATAGCACCAGGCACCAACTACCTACTAATCGTATCAAGGTAAACTTGTTTACGTATACCCATTTGCAAACCCTAACATATCTATCGATGCATGGTTCTTCTCATTTTTATTTGCATTTTAAATTTTGTTGTAAATGATTGAGTATTTCCACGACTGAAAAGGGGGTATTCGTTACGTCAGGAGCAAAATGCTGAGTTGGTATATAAAAAGGGTTCGTGTCATATTTTGGTCGGTCGTAGTCCTTGCTTTTAACAGCCCAGTGTTCTAGTCGCTGACATATAGAACCTATTTGCTTTTTATTTCTACTCTAGGTTTAATGTGTTCTTCATTGAGCGCACATTGGGTTCAATAACTTGTGCCATTTGGATGCCGGAGAGTAGACGAGCCCCTTCGCAACCCCTCAATAACCTCCCACTACTGCTCTAGACTTAAAAGGCGGAGGTATGTACCCTGCATCATCAAGTCACAAGTATGGATGGCGGCAAAATAAATACCAGGCATTACTCCTGGCGGCCTGGTTGTCCCTTGGCGTACTTGCAACCGGTCGACGAGTTGCGTTCAGCCTAATTTTCTTGTGTTGAGTACATCATTTACATATCTCTATTCGAGAGATCGGTAACGACGTTGTGGGCAGCTGCGTAGAGTGAGCCGTGACATCGATCGCGCGCTCAAAGGATAGTACCAATCTGAATATCTAAACGCGCCCCGGTCGTCTGCGAAGCGATGCAGCAGGGCCCCACATTAATGCACCTCGAGGTCCGTTAACATTTTTGGAATCTCAAAGGCATAAGTATGATGGCATTGGTGCCATTATTTATTGTCAATGTATGTTAACAGGCGCAATTATTCTTGACCCAATCTATATAAAAACACAGGCGGAACTCATTGTTAACTTGACAAATGACTATACGCAATGGCCTTTGCTAATTGTATCATAAATCGGACCTGACAAGATTTAAGACCTCGACAAGACCTCGCATGGTCAACGGAAAAACGCGATATCAAAATAGGTAATTTTTAAAGTAAATTTTAGGCCCAAGTCCGTTTCAAGAATTCTCATGAAAGAATGTGTGATTTTCATGAAGAAATACTAGAAATGTTGTTTTCAGGGTACGTAGTGGAAGGCAATGAGGATATTTTGGTAAGGTCAATTGGCTCCCCTATCCAAGCTGGGCTCAACTTGCTAACAAATATTTAAATTAATTACTATATCTTCCTAGTAGGTTGATAGCAATTGGGGCTTTGCATCATTTGAAATAAAAATCTAGGATTAATAAATTATTGTACAATCGAGCTTACCCCTCATGCTTAATCCCACACTGACATTTCGCAAGCTCCGATTCAAATAACATGGTTAGTACAAAATTTGTCGAAATGTCAATGGGGTTTTCTACTGCGGCAAATGCGTAGGTGTAACAACGACACTTTGTAAAAAGAAAGAGGCGAGGCACGTACTTTCTTCTTATCTGCATTTGAATGTCAAAATGATTAAAAAAAAAGTTATGATCCAATATTTTCAAATACCAAGTGTTTGGAAACGGATCCGTAGGCGGCAAAGATGGGAAACCTTTTAGGAAATTTAGTGAAATGATTGTAACAGATTATTCCTTTGCTTGTGGAAGTGTGTGAATGTATGCTGCATATAAACTATTTAAAATTTCTAATGGATTCTTGATTTATGTTTCATTAACAGTTACGACATAACAAACTACTTATGAAGAAAGTGAGGTCTTAGATGTACATCACGTTTAACTCATTTGCAAACCTATATATCAATATGAAGAAAGATCAACCTCATCAAGAGTGGTCTGTTCCAACAAAATATCAGCAGGGTAAAGGCGAAATGAGAAACTAAGAGCCCGCCGAAGAAAAAAATACGATCATGCAAATTGGGAGATAACAACCTGTAATGAAGTTTCGCTGAATCTCGGAGGATTACGTTAGAAAGATCAATCTTTCACGGCCCACTTATGTAAGACTGTTGTCAGACCTAAATCCAATCACATCAAGACTTCCAAGAAAAACGCGATCCTCATCATATGGGGGGGGGGGGGGGGGGGGGGGGGAGAGGGCTTATTTGTGGTAATTTTTTCAGGAGGATCCTACCTCATTCCAGATTTGGATCAGAATTTCTAACGCTAATAACAAACGACTTATAGGTAAATAAATAGATAAGTAAATAGATAAATAAATAAATGAATAAATATAAGAATAAATATTGTAATCAAATAAAAACCGAGCTGGTTCATTTCCTGTACCATCATCAAGGGTGTAAACATAAATGGCGTTCGAACATCTTCTTTATCAAAACCGCGGCAGGAAATCAAGAAATGGGGGTTACAGACCTCAAGAAAAATTGTAATGTTTCTCCATAATCAAAAAAAAATGCAATATCTAACCTGGTATGAGCATCTTTTTGAGCGGACGTGGAACAAAAATGATTTCCATACGACCGAACACAAAGAGCAGTACTTTGTCAAATTACATAATATCGCGCAACCTCATTAGTGTAGTCATCCAAAGGACAATAGGCTTGTCACTGTCTTTCTCCCTCCATCTCTTACATTTTCCTAACACTCGTTTCGAGTACATCATTAAAAATGTTTCATGGAGGGTATATACTGATTACTTCATTAGCTGAGCACTGCTCTCAATGTCTGTCTATGCTGCTCTAAAATGGCGTAGTATTTAGACAGAGAAGTGCTACAGTGAAACTTCTACACGCTTTTTTATGGTTCAAACGGACCTTGGTTGAACTTTAAACGTCAAAATATTAAAATTAATTACGATTGCTATACTATTTACATTTGAAATGACAACATTAATGTTTATTTTGATCATTTGTCGTTAGCTAATTTAAAGTGATTTAAATCAATGGAATGAGGAGCTTAACAAAAGAAATAAAAATAAAAACCCTTGGGGCTATAGAATGTAATCCAATATATACTATTATTAATTTCATCTATAGCTGAGGGTATAACAGATTGTATTCTGAAAGAGAGAAAACAAGTTTTGTGATTGAAATGTAGATCACATGGCAAATCACCGAGCACCTCAGTATTTGCACAAGCTAAGATTAATGAGATAAATAATTAGACTGTGTACATAGATACTTGCTTCTGTTTGCTTTGCTAATTAACGCAGGGCGATCTTTGTCCAAGGGGGATGAAAGAACTAACATGCTAAAGTGGTTTTAAACTAAATGGATATTTATTTACATTAAAATTCGGTTTGCAAACTCACACTCGTGTCAATACAGATGCGGCCCTTGATGTTTTAGGTATTATTTGAAGATTGTTTATGCATGAAGACATTAAATGGAGCTTTCATCATACCTTTCAATCGATATATTGATAGTTATTACTTTTCTGTTCTCTACAATCGTGTCAATGAAACATGCCAATAACATGGCCTGTGTAGTCGACATAATGACATAGATAATGATAATCGTATAGTGCTAACAAGATGAAGACAAAGAACTGAAGGTATTCACAGTGAACGAGTGCTGGGCATTGATGATCAAGACATTGATATTACACGATCACAAACACTTTCAAAAATCAACTAAAGACATCTTAAATAAAAGTGTGCATCACCCTTTTAAGTGACGAATATAATATGATTTATAATATGAGTTAAGGGCAGTGCAATGCTGTATCGAAATTGCCTTAGCGTTCATTTTTGACAGTCCCTGTAATTGATTTACATATCGTAATGCAATGTCTTACCTGATAGCACTGATTCGTAGTCATTGTATTCACCGAGAGAGGCGACAAACTGTACTGCTAATGACGACTTTCCTACACCTGAGTCTCCCAGAACGACCACTCTGAGTGGCCTCTGCTTCTGAAGAGCTGGTAAGTCCGCAAGGGTAAGAAAAGGCAAGCTGGTGCTCCGAGTTCTGTGGTGCCTCAATGGACTCGGTGGCCTAAGGTAATTAAGGTCCATATCATCATTGTTGTTGTTCATGAACTTCTTAAACTCGCTGTGACTTGTGTTCTTGTAATCGAAAGGGTCTGAATACTGGTTATTGTAGTTGCGGTTAGGATGTAACTGGTTGCTGTTGTTGTGATGGTGGTGGTGGTGATGGAGGTGGTGGTTGGTGTTTCGATGTGTGGTGTTTTTCTGGTAGTGCTTTGGCTCGTCTGTCGTCCCTTTGGCTTGGTAAAGCTCTTCGCTGAATGTCAGGTCCTCCATGGTCCAGCGGCTCTCCGGAGAGTCAGCACACAGGTGTGGTTCTTCCCCGTAGAGTTTAGCCGTGATGAGCGGCTCGGATGGCGTCCTGGCTCGGCGGGGAGTTTCCGCGGCCTGGGGATCGTCGAATCGGTCCGTTTCCCCCGTCATGAAGGCTAATTACTAGTCACTGCTAATCACAAAAAGATGATAGATATATCTTCAAAGATACACACTACACCCGGTGCAAATGCACTTTCACAATCTGGACAAAGCCGTCGTAGGCAACAGCGCTTTAAGATCTATTTAATTCTCTTAGGTAGATATGAACTCCTTTCTCTGGCGAGGCTTTACGGTTATCTGCTGTGTCAGCGGTCACCGAACGCTATTTATTGCTTCTCTCGTACAGCGCGCACAGCTAGCACACTTTACGGTTGAGGTGTACAGAATTATGAGTCAAATTGAGGTTTACACGTCACTCAGCAAAGATAGGGCACAGCGCACCCTACCATTACACACTCATACACAGAAACCGCGTATGCATTATGAGGGTTCGGAGGAGTTGCATTTCGTACCACATGACAATGGCGATCGCTGATTGGTTGGGGAAGCTTAGTGTCTCTAGTGCGCATGCGCAGTGCGGTAAAGCAGCATTAATAAGATTTATTGTGTCTACGGTATGTATCATTAACCATCACATCTGCGAGCCACCTCGCCTTGTGAGTCATACCGATTTCCAAGTTGCTCTCACAATATTCTTCTGCGTTCGAATCTAACAACAGAGTGCTAGTCATTCATTCTACCAGCAACGAGACAATTGTATATCTTTCATTACGTCAATCAACCCATCGCCCGTCTCTCTCTCCCGTCATCTTGATTCATTGCTCGTACCGAGAAATGAATTTTCATCCCCAATCACAATGTGATGAAAGAGATTTTAAGACTCTATAATCCGTCATCTTCTCTGAATCAACAGCAACAAACATTAATCGTGAAAATGCAATCTTGCGTGTGCCAGTTTATATATTTTTCTAAAACCTCCTTTTCTCATTCTACCAACGTACATCATCGATTTAAAGTATTACTCATAACTCTTGAGTCACCTATTATATCCACTATGTATCATAGTTCCATCTTGTATCTTATTTTGTAGACACATGTGATGTTTGGTCACTCGCTTGTACGTCAATGTACAATATGAATATGTAAATATTCTGATAGGTTGACGTCAATCCGAATATTTTTCCCCAGGGTAAAATTATTATTTTTACGATAAGGTATGAAAAAACAAAAATCAAATAGGTAGAGAGGTTTTATATTAATTGCAGATATGCCAAAGGCAAGAACATATTTTGTAATATATATATATCATGTTCAATATATAACATGTAAAAACAGTGTGCTTGCACAGTGTAGCACATTAAACAAAAAACGTATGAGTCCATAAAAAAGAGATACAAAATTAATTATGCGTAGTGTTGTTAATTATAAATAATGTCAATGATAAAAAATAATAAAATGATACACTGTTCTGTATCTTATTCTTTGACATGATATCCGCTTTTACTTTCTGACAATGAGCACATCTTCATATTTTTTTTGTATCGAGACCAAAGATTATCACAACATAAAAATGTATTGTTGTATATGGGTTTAAAAAAACAGAAACACATTTGAGTTTTCTTCTCCTGTATATGCTTGTTAAATATGTTATATGAGCAAAGTAGCAAGTATACAAATAGGTACAATGGGCTCTCCCTTTTGTCTTGTCAATTCCAAAATATTTGTTCTTAGCCACCCCAACCCCTACCCTGCACTATTTGATTATGGTGAGGGATTCTTGGAATCTTCTATCAAAATTTGTTTTTATATGAAATAAAATAAAAACTTAATATTCCCCATCAGAATTAAATAATTATTTATAATAAACCCTCGATATCTTTTCGTAAGCACTGCATAAACCATCATTCTTTTTATAGTAGCTATAATAATAGAATAAGCCCCATTATCCATTATAATCAGTCGTTCTACTTCAACACAGAGTCCTTTCATAGCAACCGAATGCTGATTACCATGACAACTGTATGACATCATTCGAGGGTTTACCAATACTTCCAACGATATCCATAGAGATCTAGGTGTACTGTTCGGACGGCGCATGATGTGTGATAATAAACGTCGGTACGATGTGTAAAAAAAAAAATCTACTTGCTGAGTCACGAGAAACTGCGAGAGTCACACGCACGTCACCTTGAAGTGGCAGTCGCGAGCACAAAACCTTGTCTATGCGAACAAGGATCAATTGTGAATGCATTACAAATTATTGCCTCACCGCTGGGAATACACTGTTGCTCTTGGCTGCTAAATTTAGAAATACAAATCCACAAAAGGGGCGAAAAAGCACCCATTTCTGCCAGGTTAGGTTAAATATTTCTGACGCGACATTATTGATGTTGTATTTTTAGCCTATATATGAAAATGTTAACGCCATTATTTATCCAACTCATTTTCTGGGTCAGGATTTGGAAGACCATTAATGAGACAGCAGAAAAACGCACACTGCATATTATACATACCCTCATCCCAATCCCAACACTGCACAGATAATTCACAATCATGATACAGTAGAGTCGTGTGTGTAATGCGTATACATGACTAACATTCATAAATAAATGACAAATGACGTGATTAAAATGTATAGAGGCGAGTCAAAAATTAAAATCATGGTCCGAATTACACATTGATATCAATTATAAAGCATGCGTCAGCTACAAATTGAGTCTTATATTTCATGTACGATCCTAATGCAATATAACATATAGAAACTTAAATTCAACTCGAAATGTGGGAAAAGACAACAGTTACTATTGACAAAATGTCTTTCCACCTGAATATTCCCATCTGAAGAAGTATTCAAACATACATATGAATGATATTTCAAAGTAATACAACTATTTTACAAACTATACAGATTGAGAAGAATAAAAGGTGAATGATTCATTTCAATTACCTAAAGTAAATGCTTCTTAAACATGTAGGGGCATGCTTGATATCGGAGCTTGTAGATTGTGATACAGAAGTTCAATTTCATTCTTAGACTACTAGTTTTTTACCGTGCCTCTCAAAGACGTCAATATCTTACAACATCTAGCATCTTATATCTAAATATCATTGATTCTTGTACCGATATTCATAATTTACAACATTACCTGTAATTGTTTTCTAACTTATGCTTTTGTAATGATTATTTCCATTTGTATCACCTGCCATGAACGATGTCCCTGTCATGTTTATCCATGATTGGTTCTTGTTTTAGTTTTGTTTATATATGTTAATACTACTGTTCGGGGAAATAATTATGCCTCCACAAGGCCATTTGGCCTTATTTTTTAGTTCCCCATTGTCCTTTTCTTATGTATTGCAAATGTTTGTATCGGTATTTGTATTACATGCTTTGTATATATCATGATTTTAAATGCTTGCATACAGTGAACTGAACTCAACTGAACCACCTATGTACCTCATATAAGTCGATTGAGAAACAAGGGCCAAGATCAGGTGTGATGTCTGGTAATATCCAGCAAGCAATGATCCCAATATTGAGAATCCCCTAAGGATACCAATATAGTAAAGAGGATAGTGCATCAGTTAAAAATAACATATACTTGTCGCAGCTTTCCGTTTATGAATATCTATTTACAGTTTGATTTTTCTTAATATAGACTGTACGTCTTGTTTGGCTGTTTGGAATACAAATCACTTTATTTTCCCCTTGTTTTATATGCATGTAACCTTTGAAGAAAGTGAGGATGATGTAGCAATTGATGCCCCTGGGGTATGAAGATTCAATTCTTGATCTTCAAATGCATCTATAAGCAAACTTCGTTGAATTACTCATGAGGACTGTATATATCGCTCATAAGAATGTATAATATGACATTTAAACTTATGAAATATGTTGCATTTTCCTACTCTTTGGATTGAAGAAAATGTAATATTGTTTTTTTTTTGTGTCGTGTTTGCAATGTACTATTAAAGAGGTGTGTCTACAATTTGTATCTCGTGTTAACAGATGAATCATAGATATTTATAGCATTGTAAACTTGATTCTTACATTTGGCATGTCACCAAGAGCATTTTCACTCTTTTAATGTAATTTCATCATCTGACTGAAGAGAGAGATCATAAATAAAACACGATGATCATTTAATCGCCCCGCCCATGATGAGTTACGATAATAGAGCCGTTTAAGAGTAGTTTGGTGATCAGTGGATTTTATCAAAACAAAGCTACGTTTTCCGCTGTAGTAGGCATGAGTCATAATCACCAAGTGCATTTACACTGTTTTAATGCAATTTCATCATCTGACTGAAGAGAGAGATCATAAATAAAACACGATGATCATTTAATCGCCCCGCCCATGATGAGTTACGATAATAGAGCCGTTTATGAGTAGTTTGGTGATCAGTGGATTATATCAAAACAAAGCTACGTTTTTCCGCTGTAGTAGGCATGAGTCATAATGCGTCTAGAATGCACCGTCACGCGCATATTTCATTTCATGACCCGATATGAAACACACGTTGATGTATACAATTATTCATCTACTTAATAATTCAATAACCCATTGCTAATATACATGTATATTGAAACATGGGTAATTTCTGTAGATGACTACAATACAACAATATCCGGTCCTATCTTTATATCTATCTACTCTGATCTTGATTTTCATGACTTTACTCTTTTTGAAAAATAATTATAGCTTTATTGAATTAAATCATCAGGATTGCCTGTGGGGAACCAGAAGGACATTCACTCTATGTACAAGTGTGTGTGTAAACACCCTTCTTCCTCTCAGGAGACACGGGGTTGTGTTATATGCACTACCTGCTACTTCGATGTTTAAAAGATATCTAAAAGAGGGAAGGGATGGTATAGAAGAACCTGATATTCACTCCCTCTCTCTATAGTTGGTATTGAAAGCTTAATGCCGAAAAGGACATAAAAAAGTATATTAAATATCGCTCTGGAGACTTTGATTGTCTGCTCTTGTCGATAAGCGGATAAAGTACTTGGAAAAACGGAATGTAAATACATAAAACCAAAACTAACAGACACCATGAAGTAAACATGAACAAGTCCTTGATAATTATGTTTGCGGTAGCAAGAAACTGACAAACCTCTTCCTCCTTCCCAGAAAGACGAAGTGATTCCTAGGAGTATCAACGACAAGTAAACGTCGCAAATTAGATAGCTTGCAAGTTACGTAATGACTAAAATATATTAGTTGCAGACCGGTTGGAGCAATTAATGGTAGGGACAGAAACCTGCAGCTTATGCAGCATTGGTATATTGCTCGTTGTGCTGCATTTTCCGAAGGTTGACTCAAAAGCATATTATCATACAAAGGCTTGTTGAATATTTATGAAGAAAACAAAATTACGGAAATGTAAGGCGTTTCTCTTTAATTTGTAGTGTAAACGGTTCTCGGAAAAAAATGTATCAGTCATTTGA